ACAGCGCTTAACAACAACAACATAGTCTCAAAGTATCACCCTATGAGAAACTTACTAGTTGTACAGAATAAAATAGATAATTTTATAATAGAAAAGAATGGAGGGAAATGAGATAAATAAGGAAACGATTGAAACAAACACAAGATCAGTGTATTTTATTGTATGTAAAATAACATCAATAAAACCTTCAAAAATATAAAACCACATGTGCGTTAGGTTATTCCCTGAAGCTTTATCTGTAATAGCAGAAGACTTAAGAAAGGTAAAATGAGGAACAACTAGGATTTCCCCACATTTCCTTACATTCATAAGGCCCCCGTCCATTGCAAGTTTGATATGTTGAATGAGGTCTGTGGGCTTAATAAAGGTTTATTCACATTCATTACATCAGAAGGTATCTTTGCATTGTGAGTTCTCGTATGTGTAGTGAGGGATGACCAAAAACAGAAACAAAAACTCACTGCCGTTGAGTCAATTCCACCTCATAGTGACCCCCTTTGGGTTTCCGAGGAGGTAAATCTTTACAGAAGTAGATTGCCCAGTCTTCCTTCTGTATAGTGGCTGGTGAGTTTGAACTGCCAGCCTTCCAGTTAGCAGTCAAACGCCTTAGGCACTACATCACCAGAGCTCCTTATATGTGAGAGATGAGGAACAACTAAAGGTTTTCCCACATTGCTTACATTCATAAGGCCTCTATTTTGTTCTTTTAAATTGAGAGGAATGAGGCATAAATAAAGGTTTTCCCACATTCCTTACATTCACAAGGACTCCCTGCACTGTGAGTTCTTATATGTTCAGTGAGTGTAAGGAACACTTAAAGGATTTTCCACATTCCTTACATTCAAAAGAACTAACTCCACTGTGAGTTCTTATATGCCTAGTGAGGGACGAGGCTTGACTAAATGCTTTCCCACATTCCTTACATTCATAAGGCCTCTCTCCACTGTGAGTTCTTACATGTGTAGTGAGGGCTGAGGAACAAATAAAGGCTTTCCCACATTCCTTACATTCATAAGGCCTCTCTCCACTGTGAATTCTTACATGTGTAGTGAGGGCTGAGGAATAACTAAAGGCTTTCCCACATTCCTTACATTCATAAGGCTTCTCTCCACTGTGAGCTCTAACATGTTTATTGAGGGCTGAGGAACAACTAAAGCCTTTCCCACATACCTTACATTCACAAGGCTTCTCTCCACTGTGAGTTCTAACATGCCGACTGAGGGCTGAGGAACAACTAAAGGCTTTCCCACATTCCTTACATTCATAAGGCCTCTCTCCACTGTGAATTCTTGTATGTTCAGTGAGGGCTGAGGAACAGCGAAAGCCTTTCCCACATACCTTACACTCATAAGGCCTCTCTCCACTGTGAGTTCTTATGTGTATAATGAGGGCTGAGGAACAACTAAAGGCTTTCCCACATTCCTTACATTCATAAGGCCTCTCTCCACTGTGAGTTCTTATGTGTGTAATGAGGGCTGAGGAATAACTAAAGGCTTTCCCACATTCCTTACATTCATAAGGTTTCTCTCCACTGTGAGTTCTAACATGTTTATTGAGAGCTGAGGAACAACTAAAGGCTTTCCCACATACCTTACATTCATAAGGCTTCTCTCCACTGTGAGTTCTTATGTGTGTAATGAGGGCTGACGAACAACTAAAGGCTTTCCCACATTCTTTACATTCATTAGGCCTCTCTCCACTGTGAGCTCTTACATGTGTAGTAAGGGATGATGCATGAATAAAGGTTTTCCCACATTCCTTACATTCATAAGGCCTCTCTCCACTGTGAATTCTTGTATGTTCAGTGAGGGCTGAGGAACAACGAAAGCCTTTCCCACACACCTTACATTCAAAAGGCTTCTCTCCACTGTGAGTTCTAACATGTCTATTGAGGGCTGAGGAACAACTAAAGGCTTTCCCACACACCTTACATTCATAAGGCTTCTCTCCACTGTGAATTCTAACATGTCTATTGAGGGCTGAGGAATAACTAAAGCCTTTCCCACATACCTTACATTCATAAGGCTTTTCTCCACTGTGAGTTCTAACATGTCTATTGCGGGCTGAGGAAGAACTAAAGGCTTTCCCACATTCCTCACATTCATTAGGCCTCTCTCCACTGTGAGTTCTTATGTGTGTAATGAGGGCTGAGGAACAACTAAAGGGTTTCCCACATTCCTTACATTCATAAGGCTTGTCTCCATTGTGAATTCTAATATGTCTACTGAGGGCTGATGAATAACTAAAGGCTTTCCCACATTCCTTACATTCATAAGGCCTCTCTCCACTGTGAATTCTTATATGTTCAGTGAGGACTGAGGAACAACTAAATCCTTTCCCACATACTTTACATTCATAAGGCTTCTCTCCACTGTGAGTTCTAACATGTCTATTGAGGGCTGAGGAAGAACTAAAGGCTTTCCCACATTCCTTACATTCATAAGGCTTCTCTCCACTGTGAGTTCTAACATGTCTACTGAGGGCTGAGGAGCAACTAAAGGCTTTCCCACATTCTCTGCATTCAAAAGGCCTCTCTTCTTTGTGAGTTCTCATATGATGAGTGAGGGATGAGGCGTAAATAAAGGTTTTTCCACATTGCTTACATTCATAAGGTCTCTTCCCACTGTGAGTTGTCCTATGCCTAGTGAGGGATGAGGCGTAAATAAAGCTTTTCCCACATTCCTTACATTCATAAGGCCTCTCTCCATTTTGAGTTCTTATATGTGTACTGAGGAACGAAGAATCACTAAAGGCTTTCCCGCATTCCTTATGTTCATAAGGCATATCTCTATTATGAAATTTAGTTTTTTGACAACTACAGCTTTTACAACATTCTTTACACTCATACTTATGATCTCTCACATGTGTCCAAAATGCTGAGAAACTACAGAAATGTTTTCCACATTTGTTACATTCATAGCATTTCTCATCAGTGAGTTTTGTCACAAAATTCTTAAGCGTTGAAATACAAATGAAGTCCTTCCCACATAATTTGTATTTTTGAAGTTTTCTTCCAGTAAGAGTTCTAATAGGAATGGTTAGGTGAGAGGGACAACCCCACGATTCTCCACATTCTTTACAGTGACAGGTATTGTATTCGGTGTGAGATCTAGGATGATGCTCGTGTGATGACTCCTCCAGGAGGGCTTTTCCACACTCACAGCACTCAAAAGGAATTACTTCTTGAAGATTTCTTTGTAGCACAGTAAGATTTGGATTCCAGCTAAAGGTTTTCCCACACTGACTGTCTTCATTACCTTCACAGAAGTTCTCTACTGTATGATTTCTGTTAAAAATAGGCAAGATGCTGTTGGAAGTAAATTTATTCCCGTTTCACCATTACCAAACACAGTAAACATACATAACTTTTTCCATAACTTGTCTCATGTTTCAAATATTAAAGCATCTACCAGAAATACTACCATTACTGTCACTATATTTCTAAAATATGCGGCTTTCTGATAATTGTGCTCAAGTGAAATATGTTTCAAAAAATTGAAACTCACATTTATAAAAATGTATTATGAAAATTCTCTAAACACATAAATTTACAGCTGGGTTTACATGTATTGTTAGGAACCACTGAGTCAGTTCTGAGTTATAGCAACCACATGTACAAAAAAATCAAACAGTGCTTGATCATGTACTATATTCATGATTGTTGCTATGTTTGAGCCCATTGTTGTTACCACTGTATCAATCCATCTTATTGAGGGTATTGCTCTTTTTAGCTGATCCTTCACCTTACCAAGCATTTTATATATACATATATATATGTGTGTGTGTGTGTATACATATATATCTATGTGTGTGTATATATATACATATATCCATCCGTTTATATATATATGGATGGATGGATGGATGTAAGATATATACTGTCATGA